ATTCACTCCGCCTGCTGCTCAATTGACACTGAGCCCGGACCGGTGTCCATCACCTCGGCCTCAGGTCATACTAGTGTCGCTGCTCCCCGACCCTAGGGCAGACATTCACTCTGCCAATATCCTTTATAAGTTGATTAACAATGCATGTAAACGTCAATATTTACGTAACAGCCAATTTACAGTATGTTTTTCTCTTTGGAAATGCCATATTGCTATTTGATTTGCATTATTTGTTGCCAATGAAGCCACACGACCATATAAACGAGGAGGCCCCCAACCGTCGATTTCGACGGGTTTCACCCTTAAGTCCTTATATACCCGGTAACCCCTGTTCATGTGAAAACGGTAAAACCCAAACTCAAACGATGATGATGATGTAGCTAAAACGTATTGTTTGAAATTTAACAGCTGAAAATAAGTGAAATAGAAAAGGTTTTGGTTAAATCCATCAAATTGTAATTGGGCACAAGTAAGTACTAGTGCACTTGTTGCTACCTCCCCCCTTCGGTTTCATGTATTCCTCTCAATCAGTTCAAACCTAGGAGGATTAAACATTAATGTTAATTAATGTTAAATCCTCCTAGGTTCAAACCTGAAACACCCAGATCGAAACTCGCCTGTCGTCATTTTAACATCGCCTTATTTTTTTTACTATATTTTTCAAAAAAGAAAGATTATATTGATTTACTTTGGATTTTAAAAATGTGAACGTTTTATTTTATTAAAGATTTATGGTGATACGTAAATATTGTGGTGTAGTAAAGTATATTATATTGTAGATAAGTGTTAAATTTTGAAATTTTTAGGTGAATCGAGATGAATCTTTTTTTATAACATGGGTCTCTCCTACCTTAACATACATACAAAGTTTCATAAACATCGGTTGGAAAAGTGTAAAGATAAATATTTGTATGTAAAAAATACAAAATGGCGGATATCTGGTCAACGAAACGATTTTGGAAAAAATGTTATCCTTGATTTTCTGTTTATTTTGACCCAAGGAATTACTAGGTAAAGTATCTCCCCGCTTATTTTTAACACCCTGGTTATGATGTATTCTTATTAATATAAGTGAAAAATGTAAGCTGGTAATACAGAAAGATGTTTTATAAATAATATGAATCTACTAATGATCTGTATTCATATTTTTCTTCTCCTTAGAACTGTAAATTAAAAGTCCACTCAGAAGTCGCATCGTACGATGTAGTTCTTTCCATGCGTTGTGAAATGCTAAATTTTCCGTCCTCTTCAACCCAAGTTATCTATTGAACCACTGATTGTAAAAAAACAATAAAAATATATTTTACGCAACACACTTTTGGCTACAACTTTGCACAGACAAAACCTCTCTAACCCAAAAACAAAAAAAATCTCGCATGCTTACTTTTTCATGTTAGAAATCACGATTTAAAACTATTTCACCATACATATCAATTTTTATTAATTAGATCGGTAATTAGTTTAAAGTTCCAACAAAATAGTCATCGAGTAGGACTAACCAAGAAGCTCTGTGCCAATTTTCTAAATTTTAGCACAACTTTAAGTACACCAAAACACGAAATTATTGAAGTCATGCGTCGAGAGGACTATCGTTGTTTTTAACAGATTATACTTTTGACCTTCCGGCCCTGTTGACTCAGCGAAACTGAACTTATATTTTACCTTATTCCGTTATATTAAAACTGCTGTTGCATTAGGTCAAATTCCCAATAAGTCAATCGCTTTAACATAGACTACGTTTTTAGCACGGACTGTATTATTTGACTTAATGGGATTTTTGATCTACAGACACTGCAAACATTGTAGTTTTTGACCTAGCGGCTCAGGTATAAATTATTTGACCTTCCGGCACTGTTGACTTTCTGCAACGCGTCCGCTTAGGAGGCTTCCACCCGCCCGCCGCCGGCTGGTTACCACTGAAACATGGTCTTACAAAAAGGAACCTCGTGGCTTTATTTAAGTTTTATCGTGTTGAAATGAACTGTAGAATATTCACAAAGATTCAAACTATGCCCTAGATGAACTGAAACATCATAATTGTTTCTTTAAGTCTTTACAAAATCATTTGAAATTCCGTAAATTAGTTTTTTTCACATGTGCTTTAGCTTCTAAAAAATATTTAAACATTACTTTTTCCCCATCCATTGCAAGCTCTGACATGTTAAGCGCAAAAAAAGCACACGATCATTGGAAACAAATTAGTTTTAGAGGTTTGAGAGTTTGTACCGTAGAGACATATTCAGCCGCCATTTTGAATTGACGGAGTAAGACCCTCTTAAATAAATGTAGTTACCATGCGAGACACCATCAATGTAGCTTTATAATGTTAATTTGAGAACAATGTGCTTTAAAAGTATCATGAACACATTGTTTTAAATTGAGTTCTATTGTTCCTAAAGAACATTGAATGTTATTGTATCACTTATGCAAATGTAATGGGAGGACTAAACGAGGCTGAGGGCAGGATACTATCATAGACTAACCAACACAAGTATAGGTCTCGCCACCCTAAGTTGAGGCAGCCCAGACGGACGGGCAGGGTCATTATCGGCCGGTCCCGCCCGACCCTTTATAATCCGATTAGTGACACTTCTGTGAACGCTCTAGTTCCATAATTGTCATTAACAAAGTTAAAAACCGATGTATAAATTTAGTCTTTTACATTAATAACGTCGATTTAACAAACATTTCCGTTTTTGTCCCAACAAAATCGGACAATGTTTACGGTTTGTGAGCTATAAACAAAAAACAAAGTAGTGTAGATCCCAAAATCCAAAAACCGTAAACATTGTAAACATTGTGATTTTGATGGGACAAAAACGGAAATGTTTGTTAAATCGACGTTATTAATGTAAAAGACTAAATTTATACATCGGTTTTTAACTTTGTTAATGACAATTATGGAACTAGAGCGTTCACGGAAGTGTCACTAATCGGATTATAAAGGGTCGGGCGGGACCGGCCGATAATGACCCTGCCCGTCCGTCTGGGCTGCCTCAACTTAGGGTGGCGAGACCTATAGACTTCTCATCCCATTGTAAATTTTGAAGCTCGTTTTTCATGTCTAGTTCATGTACGCCACACTGGGCGCTATTGTCGACGAAATTTTGTTTCTATTATTTTAGGGTTAATTTCTTGATTTGTGCTTTACTGTTTGGTTAAATAACTAGGGGACAAGTTATTGTCTATGATTAGATCGTATTATTTGGCTAAACGAGGTTTTAAATAGCTGTAATAACGGGAAACAAATTGTAAACAAAACACGACCTCTACATAAACCGTACAGGAACTAACAATAAAATTGTCTTCAGCTGTTCCATAAGGATGATAAATCTACTAGGGGAGTATGTTTTATCTATGATACTATCTTTACGTAAACTCATCCCACATAAGTGAAACATAAGTAAACCCAGATTTATCATTCAGAATGTTTTGGTAATTAAAATGAGATTTATCACTTTATCACTAAATAAAATAACTTTCCAACGACCATTGCCAACATTCATAAAAAACAAACGGTGCTTTCACAAAGTTTTAAATAAAACCTTACAAACAACTTTTTAGCGAATTTCCCTATAGGGAAGTAGCTATTACCGTAGGTGGCACGGTAAGACCTAGACCCGGGACCGATTTACTTTTTCATTTTGATGTCCCCAGAGGCCAAAAACACTATTCGTTCAAATTTTTATATATGTATATATATATATATATATAGACTTATATATGGGCCGGTCAAAGTCAAAGTGGTGTAAGTCAATTTTTGACAAAAATGAGTCAAGTCCATATTTTGATTCCTTGTTCACTGATTCATCTTTTGGCACAATGAGCTAAGTCATAGTTCATTTCTAGCGTCACTAGGAGGCAGCACTTTACTGTTCCACATTGTGTTGGTATTAAACTGTTTCAAAGCAAAGTGATCCAAGTCTGACTTACTCCACTATGCCTTACAACATTATGTTTCTTTTTTGGTATAAACACATGACTTATGCGAAGTAAGCAAAGTGGCCCAAGTCTGACTTACACCACTGTGTTTGGAAATAGTTACTTACAGCTGGTCTGGTCACACAACTTCCAAAAACAAACCCAAAACAAATTCCATGTAACTTCTATGACACGTGAGGAGTTTAAATCAGCAAAAGAGCTATGTAATGCAGTGACCCAGAGAACTAAAAATGATGATAAAGGCAAATTTAGTTGGTTAAAAACTCAATGGATACGGTTTTTAAGGGAAGAACCTTTCAAACTGTTCTATAAGGAAGCAATACAAGAAGATGTATCTTTTAACAGTGTTTCTCTTGTCTGGTCAAATCAAAAAAAAAAAGAAAAAGCTTAATCTCTCTGAACATGTATCTCTTGGTCTAATTGGCCTTGCCTCTATGAAGCACCTCTACCAGTGACAAAGGGAAAAAACAAAACATGACAGAGCTGTTGCCCTACATACCACCAATTTATCATGCATACTACCAGTGTTTGATTACCAGTGATAGTGTCGAGGACATTGGTCCTCTAGAACAAGTGAACGACGAAGAGAACGATGGCATATAACATATTGAAAATAATTGAGGATATTTCTATGAAACACTTTAAAACACATTCAGCGCCATACTATGTGGTATACTATATGTCTATTAGGCCCTAAGTATTTTTTTAGCTTTTGCCCTGTGGGCTTTGTGTATCATATTTGATAGACAAGCAATTTGCCATTTGGGCCATGTGTATCATTTCTGATACACATGTCAATATGCCAATAAAGCTGTATGTATCATATTTGAGCACAATTTCCATGCATTTAGCATTGGAAATCTCTTCCCCTGGCCCAGACCTAACACAGAACCATTAGAGTATCGGCCCAGGCCGGTTCACTTGTGTTTTACGAAGGTGTTAGAAAGGTAAATAAAATAGCTAAGTAAAATGAAAACTCACATTTATTACTTTCAAAAAACCAACTAGGCCTATGTTTACAGTTATGTTATAAACTTGTCTTGTTACTTATGACTTAGTCAATGCTTCTTGTTGAAGCAGGGGCGGCACATGTGCGGCTGTCCTTCGCAGGTGTCGCAAACTGTGTAGACTTGCTTCGCCCTGCGTACTTTGCCATCTTGTCCAAGTGTCCCTTGCCTTCCCAGCTCATCGTAACAAACTTTACACCTCCCTCTTTTCTTTCGTGGTGGGTCACCTGTTATCACTTCGATGAGATAGTGGGCTCCGCGAGATCTTCGTGGTGTGACGTTTCGTTCAGTTGGAGTTGCTTCTTGAAGGAGGGAAAGAACTATCGCTTCTCTGAATTGTTTTATTGGCATTTTCTCATTCCCTGAGCAGTTGTAGAGGAAGTGGCTATTTACAACTGTCATTCCCCAGATTACTTCTATCATCAGCTTCCTGTACCACTTAGTACATCTTCTCAAAGCTTTGTTATAAGTCGCCATCTGGTCGCTCATGTCTATTGAGTATTTTCCCTCGTTGTACAGGACAACACTCATTGGTTTATGCACCACTTTGTTACTGTTGGTTGTTACTTCAACTACTTCATTTGTATGAACAGTAGATAGTAAATAAACATCCCGTTTGTCTTTCCATTTTATGCAAGTGAGTCCTTCTTCAGTTTCTCTTGTCATTATATCTCCCTTATTGATGTTCAAAGCAACTGCTGGTGGTAGATACTTCCTATCAGGACGCAATGTCCCGATGAAGTGAGTGGAGTGCTCTAATAACCCAAGCGCAAGAGGCACACTCGCATACCAGTTGTCGACAACGACAACCAGTGATCTACCCTCTCCTAGGAGCGAACCAGGAACAATGTCTTTGCCACCATTCTGTATACCGCCCAAAAGCTTGTACACTACGTTCTCGGAGGCGCTCCTCTCAGTACATGCATCTTTTCCTATGTATACGGAAAAATTCCACGTATAGCCTTTTCCCGCACATAGTTTGTACAGTTTAATACCATAACGGTGTCTCTTTCGAGGATTGTACTGGCGGAAAACAAGTCTTCCTCGCCAAGGTACTTGACTCTCATCTATGGACATTGTTTCGCCAGGGGTGTAGGCTTGCTTGAAATTTTCAATGAATAAACTCATTACATGTTCTATCTTGTGAAGTCTGTTAGTTCCTGCAAAGTTATTGTCAGCAAAATGCCACATTTTCAACAGCAGTTCAAATCGATTGCGGCTCATGGTGTTTCGAGGTATTTGCAAGTCGTATATTTTGTTTTTAGACCAGTAGTCTCTCAGATTTGGTAGTTTGACCAAACCCATCCATCCTATTAGGCCTAGGAACCTTTTAATTTCAATAGCATCTGTTGGTGTCCAACCATGTAGTCTGGAATGAGGGGCAACGTCTTCTTGACATGAAACGACTTGCGTCGCATACAAATTTGTCTGGTCCACCATAACATTTATTATATCCTCAGAAACTAAATGTAAAAAATAATCTATAGGCTTACCATCGGCTAGCTTAGCTGATACTTCTGGATTTATCCCTGACTGTCCTGTAAATGGGAATTTCTTTTGCCTCCCCTGCCACTCTTCCCACTTTATCTTACGCTCTGTACCAAAAATATTTAGGTTGTACTCATCCTGTCTCTTCTTTTTATTCTGTTTTCTTTGTTTTGTTTGCTGCCCATTTTCTTCATGTTCATCTTCCGATTGGCTTATATCTCCTAAAACTTCTACATCATTAACCAACTCTTCCAGGTCACCATCAACCAACTCTTCCAAATCACCATCAACCGACTCTTCCAAATCAGCCTCCGATATATCACAAACATTTCCTTTGTCAAGTACATCTGTAACTAAACTTGTGGTTGTAGTTCTATGAGATCTTTTATTAGTTAGGACTAGGCCTACTTTCCTTTTCTTTGCAAATACTTTTTTTACTTTCTTTGGTCTCTTTTTATTCTTTACAGTTTTTTAGGCCTTTCATTTTCACTTTCATCACTACTTGTATTGTCATGCCAAACATTTGAAGAAGTTCCAGCTTGCACTTTATCAATTTGACGCTGAAATCCTTGCCAACGTTTAGTAATATTAAAAATGTCATCATTTTCACCAGGAACATATTCTGGATCTTTATCAGAGTCAAATATTTCACTTTCGGCACTCAAATCACCATCACTCAATGTGTCACCCAATTCCTTTTCTATTTTTCTAGGTGTCAAGTTTTTATCTCCCATGTTTATGTTCTATTATATCACTTGATAATACTAAAGAAAACATGAAAACACTGTCCACAACATGGAAAGCCTAGCAAAACAGTTCTATACAGCCAAACAGTTCTATACAACACACCACACAGCGACTGAAACTTATGCACTTTCAATTTTAGGTTACCTTTCAAGTAAACAAACAAAAGTACAGTGTTGCCAATCACTATTGCCACTCAAAAGATTTCCCATGTATCCTATTATAGGCTACAAAAAATCCCTGTTTGAGAATCAGGATATTACACACAATTATTCCTCCTATTTTGATAATTTTAGCATTCAAAAAGTAAACTTGTACTAAATTACATGTGTTACTGTAAAAAATTGTGTGTGTGCAAAAATGATACACATGGCCCAAACCAACATTTTTAACAAATATTTTATCTCTTGGGCCGTGTGTATCATTTTTGCACACACAACAAAAACAAGAATAAAAAACTAAAAAATGTTTGGATTTGAGTTTTTGGCCTATATAATTGGTTGTTGTGTTGTACTTGACCTAATATTGTAATTGGCCCCTAACAAATTTTTTTTTTAATTTCATAATGGCCTGAACCTTTAGGGTGCTTGTGTATCAGAAATGATACACATGGCCCCGTAGAGATGGCGCCTGTGTATCATTTTTAATACACATGGCGCTGAATGTGTTAAGGACAATTTTAAATTTTAGTAACAAATCGTGTTAAAAAAAAATCTTTGTAACAATATTGACTTTTATTGCTTATTAAACTCAATTACTCTGATCCATTTTATTTTTTTAGCAAAATGGTGTAAGTCATATTTTTTCATCCATTTTTTTAAAATTCATAAGCACAAAGATTTAAAAGTAAAAGTGAACTAAGTCACCCTTTCAGGTAAAGTGGTGTAAGTCTGACTTAGACCATTGTTGTGAACATATACTTAAATGAGAATGAATATCAAAATGCACAAATTATTTAAGGCAAAGTGGTGTAAGTTTTTTTAAACACTAATAAATTTTAAATAAACAATTATTTTTGTACATTCTTAATTTAGAGAGGTACTAACATATGGTCTGTACCATGTGTCAAAAAATTTCCTCCAAAATCCAAACTACTTTGACGTACGACAATTTTGTAAATAAAACCGTTTATCTCAAAACTATGATTTTTGACTTACACCACTTTGACTTTGACCGGCCCATATATATATATATATATATATATATACGTCCGTGAACGCGATAACTTGAGTAATTTTTGTCCGATTTTGATGAAATTTGGTTTAAAGGTGTAAAGCGGGATAAACTTGAATGAGTTCGCGAACCATCACGATCGGACCATGGGAACGGGGCTTTACGGGGGGTTTTATGGGGTAAAAATTGGTTTTTCTCACTTTTGACCCTCAAAACACAAAATTTCCCAATTTCTTTTTAGACCTTTTTAAAGAGCTTAAAAAAACAAATAATTTAGTATATAAAAGTATGATTCGCTAAAGGTTAGAATCTTTAGAGAAGAAAGAGTGGTTATTTGTCTCCAGATTCATCGAAGAAGTAAGCAAGGAAGACATTCTGCAATATACAAGAAAAAGAAGCATTGAGATAGACTGTGTGGAATTGAAAACGAAACATAGCTCGTACAGGTAGTTTAAAATAGGTGTTAAGCCTGAGGATTTCACCAAGACCTTGGACGGTGCGTTCTGGCCTCAAGGAACTCTAGTTCAGGAATTTGTGGTTAATTGGTTAAGGCATACCTTTTTGAGGTCTCAGACCTTTTACCGAGAAACCAACTCAACCAAGCGATATCCTAGACACAGTCCCTAGTTGCTCTTAACCTGTGCTCGATCACTGTACAGTGCTTGAGGAATAAAACTATCGAGTTGGAATTACTCTGTGCTGATAACAGTCTTGACGTTTTGGTGGTGTCTGAACACTGGTTAGTGTCTGCAGAAGTTCTGTGTTATAGCAATATTGGTGAACTCAGTATTGCCTCTAATCTTTTGCAGGATAAATCCTAGTGGCGGTGTCGCCATTTATGTTAACCCTGGTCTTAAGTGTACAGGTTTGGATCCAAGCAACTACTGAGAAGAGTTTGAGGGTGAGTTTGCTGCAATTTTGATGCATGATTTTGATCATACCGTGGTAGCCATGTATCGATCCCTCAGTGGTTCTGTCGAACGATTCTTTTTCCCTCTTGGGACTATGTTTGTTATTTTTAATTACCTTTGGTCTATCGATAGTTATTGGTACGGACCACAACATAGACTCATTGAAGTATAATAACTATTCTGTAGACTTTTTGAACACCCTACGTAGTTTTGGATTGTACAGTAGTGTTTCAGTCCATACAAGAAACAGTGCTTCTTTGGACTCCTTTCTCACTAATTTAAACTCATGGGAGTACGTTGTTAGAGTTAGTGATGAACAGATAGCTGACTATAAGCATATTCTCCTAACGCTTAAGTCCCGAAACATTTTAAAACGTTCACCTAAAATGGTAACCTTTAGACTTTCTAATGATTTTAGAATGCATCTCTTTATTAATGACGTAGAAAACCATGTGCCAATATGGTTTAATGATGTGTGTGCGCTTCCGGCGGAGGTGTCCTTTATGGATTTCTTTTTGAAATTCAAGGATACATTTGATCTGCACTTTCCTCAAATTCAAAAGACGGTACCGATAAGCCATGTAGGCAGTACATTGTCAAGTTATTTATTATAAATTATTATTATATTTATATTATTATTATATTATTATTATTATTATTATAAAGTTATTTACGTTTCTCCAATGCAAGAGCATCATGCATGGTCGCAGCCAGAAGATATTTTAACCAGTATTTGGCAAGAATTGAAGCAGGCATCCCTAACAATCTTAGTTATTTTTGGAGTCATGTTAATGCACAAAGAAAGTCATCCTCCGTGCCCCCTAATATTGTTCATGATGGCCGAACTATTACGGAACCACGGGAAATGTGCGAGTCTTTCCGAGAGTACTTTTCCTCTGTCTTTACCAGGTCCTCCCAGGATTTCATTCCTGATCATCTTGATAGGCTTGGAAATTCAGCAAATTCTCAAATCAGCCCTGCTGATGTCTTGGCAAAGCTTGCTAAGCTCGATGAGACCAAAGGCTGGGGTCCACATGAAATTCCTCCTAATGTTCTGAAATACAGTAGACACATTCTGGCTGAGCCAATATGCAAACTCTTCAATTCGTCATTGGCCTATGGAATCTTCCCTGATGCCTTGAAGAAAGCTTTTATTGTACCCATACACAAGACTGGACCGCATAATACTGTCTCCAACTATCGACCCATCTCTATCCTCTCTGCGTTGTCCAAAGTGTTTGAGGAACTCTTTTTGGACAGAATCAAGCACAAAGTAGCATCACCCCTCAAGGGTCCCCTCAAGGGGGGAGGGGAGTAGTATCATCTCCCCTCGTCAGCATGGATTTGTATCAGGACGTTCTACCGTCTCTAACTTAATAGTTTTAAACTAAAATACTTGAGGCTTTCATGTCAAATCACCAGTTGGATGCAGTTTTTTTTGGATTTCTCAAAGGCGTTTGACACAGTGGACCATACTCTTCCCCTTAAAAAAATCTTGTCAGCCTGGGATTTGATAACACCTCAGTTCGTTGGTTGGCTAGCTACCTCTCGAATAGGCGCCTGTATGTAAAATTTGCAGGCGCACTGTCCTCAGAATTTGTCTCCTCTCAGGGGTACCACAGGGATCTCGTCTTGGGCATCCACTGTTTTCACTGTTTGTAAATGATCTACAGGAGACTATTATGACGGACTCTTTACTGTTTGCCGATGATGTGAAACTATTTTCAGCTGTCGAGCTGTCTCAAAAGAGGAGGATTGCCTGATAATTCAGCGCAGTTTGGATTCCCTGGACCAATGGTGCTTGACTAACAACATGAAACTCAATATTGGGAAATGTCAAGTTATTACCTTCCATCGATGCACCGCCCCTCTGGTCTTCAATTACAGTGTTCGAGGAGAAGAGCTTTCCAGAGTTACGGAGATAAGAGACTTGGGAGTTATTTGGACCTCGTCGTTGAATTCTGAAGCTCAGGTAGCTGCCATCTGCAGGAAGGCGAACAAAATGCTTGGGTTTGTTCTTCGATTTTCCAGAAATCTTACCAACTTGACCGCACTGAAAACTTTGTACTGTGCATTGTTGAGGCAGCTGCTAGAGTATGGTTCATCAGTGTGGAGCCCTCATCAACGTTATCTCTGCGACGAGCTGGAGGGGGTGCAGCGCAGGTTTGCCAGGATGGTTGGTGTGAGGAATGGCTACATGTACCTTTAAGTCCCGATTGATGAAATCTATAGTGAGCTGGGTCTTCAGCATCTGGAAACCAGGAGGCACATCGCTGATCTCGTTGTCTTGCACAACCTCCTTAATGGCTCGTTTTACTGCCCTGATATGCTTCAGTAGATTCAATTTAGGACTCCTCAACGCACCCGTTCAAGAGACCTGTTTGTTAGACAGCATCAGCGCACAAACTACGAGATGAATGCCGCACTCGTCCGCATGCAAGGGCGGGCAACAGCGTGCCAGAGACTGTCGACTTCTTCCTGGACAGTGTATCTTCGATGAAGAGGAAGCTTCAACGTAGTCCCTAGTTTGAAAATTCATTGTCAATATTTATATATTTGAATCATATGTACATTATTATATCTAAATGCAGGGACTTTCTTGGCAAGGCTGTGTTCTGTTAATAGTAGTCTATTTGTATTGTTATTCTTGTAATTTCAGTATATATTTATTATTTATGTAATTTGTTTAAGTTATTTATTGTAAATGTTATTTATTCTTTTTGAATCATTATGTAGAATTTTTTATTATCAAATGCACGTATTTTTATTAAGGCCAGAGCGAATGCTACATTATTGTTATAATTATTGTTTCCATCTTGTTTTGTTGTATATATGTAAAAATGGAGTTGTCCGTTGGTATGTAAAATAAATAAATAAAGTGTGAATAGGCCTAATAAACTTAAACA